CTCCTCCTCCTCCTCCTCTCTCTCTCTCTCTCTCTCTCTCTCTCTCTCTCTCTCTTTCTCTTTCTCTTTCTCCCGCTAAATGTTTGTCATATGTATCTCCGTCGATTCTATGAACAGCCTATTCTCTCCTTCTTTACCTTCCTGCCCTACTCTACCTCGGTTCGTTTCCAGCCCCATGTAATTTTGTGCGAAAATTAATCTGCAAGGAGTGGTCGTTTTTCTTTCATCGTTTCTTCCGGCCTGTTCTTCTCGCTGATTTTCCACCGAAAGCTACGGTCAATCGTAGCAATGCCGCATGATTTCCTTGGGAAATCATCGATATTCTATGGATAAATTATACAGACGGTTTACCTATTCTTCCTTCGATTTATATCTTACTGTATTATATTTATAATTAACGAAGAAGACATTGTCATCTTCTTTTGGAAAATCTTCCAAAAATAAAGGAAAATATTACATTCGCAATCTAATTGATCTATAATATGCACCACAAGTCACACGATACGAAAATACACAATTATGTGAGATCATAAATTGTATACTCAAAATATGCAGAAAAAATAGACGAAAACATTTTTCCACCTGAAGAAGCAGAGGAATGTTCAGTCGACGTCTAAAATAAGTGCATCAAATGGGTACGAGAAGTTTTTAGATTGTCATAAAAGCCCTTTCGTCCTTTTCGTCCGTGATTGTTGAACCATATTTTTTTCCACAGTAAATCAAAGGATCTCATAAAACAGAATTTTCTGCTGATATCAACAATTTTCATCTTACAGTTCGTCAGAAAGTAATTTTATAGATTATCGCGTTTTCTATTTTTGTGAAAAGATATAAAACAGAATTGGACGAGCAATAATGTGTGTCTTAAATTTAATTTGCGATCGAGAGAAGAATTTGTAAAAGAAAATATTTACTTTGTAGATGTTATGATTTATGACAAGGACACATGAATCCGAATGTTTATAAAATCCAAGGATTCGAGAAATCTACAAACTTAAAGGATCTAAACATATAGAAATATATCAGTTCGAGAAAACATATTTTAACGTCAAATAAAACCTTTAAACCATTAAAAAATTTTTAATTCTTAATTTAATCTAATATAAAAATGAGGTTTGTCCTTAAGGTTACAGTCGATAAGTTCTACTATGTATATTTAAAATTAAATATGCAATAAAAATATGAATCTACGAATCCATTATCGCAAAATCTGTCGATTCAACGTTCTTGGAATTTACGTGGAAAAGTGAACGTGTGCAACGTATGAACGTGCAAGCAACGAGCGCAACATTGGCAATTTCAGTAACGCGAGCAACATAGTCGCGTGAGTTGGATCGCACGAAGTTGACATTACGCCCTCGTGAAAATTTAAATCGGGTGTATCTCGTTTATTTGGCCCGACGCCGGATAACGACGAAACGGGACGCCGGCGTCAATGAATCGCGGGCGTATACACGGCAACGTTATGTCTGACCCGATACACGACATCAGTATGCATTAGCGACAAATTCGATCTCGCACTCTGGAAAACGTCACGTACAAACAGATGAAAATTCAACAGATGAATTTCCGTCCAACGTAATTTCGTCTATGAGATGAATTAAATCCTCTTTGAACGAAAACATGTTTGCTGTTGTAAATATCTATCAAATTTATTTTATATTTATGGTTCGAATACTCTTTCGAAAGTTACATGTGTGCGGATTATTTTCACACCATTACATATAACTCTCTTCGGTTATAATTAACTCATGTGAATCTCATAATGTATTTAACATGCCACTTTAGAGAATTTACGTATTCTTTTTCCTTCTATATAATGTTCATTGCTTACTTTCGTCTGTTAAATATTTTACTTTTATTTTATTGTTATATCTAATTTCAAGACCGGTTCTATTACACATTTCTTTCTTCGTGATTAATAAACATACTTATTATTTAAATTTTTGTCTTGCAATATGTACAATTTACAATTTATTTAATATCTGTTATTATACCACGTGCCTTGTAATTTCATTAATTTAAAAATAATTGTATTTTAAAATATGTTACTTTATTTACATTGTCTCTCTTTGAAAATTTTGCTTTGTAACTCTCACTCGTGTTTGTCAAAATAAACATACTGAATGCGTTCACAAGCACGTATTTAACGTATTGTCATAAGATTTACGCTTTCAAAAGATCATACATCAAATTCTTCTCCAAAGCACGAACCGTGTCACTTTAGAGTCACATTAAATATTCAATTCAACGTTTCATTTATTCCAAACGACGTTTAACACAAGCGCATAGCATTCATCTATTTTAACCAACACTCCGATACCTTACAATTCATTGGCACTTCGAAATACATACAAAAACAAATCGTTAATTAAAACTTTATGACATCTGCTTATAACTTCGCGTAATTATTTAAGCAATGATATTCAAATGTATTCGCATGTGTTCATGCGTGTTTTTCGTTCAAAAAATATTCGCAAACTCATAAATTCAGCTCAACTATTGTAAATATATATAATATATAATCGTACAACAATAAATTTTTAATGATAATATAAATAATAGTAATGAATAAATTTAGCTAAATTGTTTAAATCTAAAGGATTGTTCGTCTTCTTTAAATTTTTCAATTTATTTCAATCAGTAATCAGTTTATTGAAATATAATAGTTTTCCACAACCTGTTGATAATCTAAGAAAAATTGATGCCACAAAATATAGTTGTATATATGACATATATACACAAATATAAACACAAGCTTCATACGACTTCTTGGTATCTAAAGGTGTAAGAAGATATCTCGATATTGCTCATGTTAATGGTGGTAAAGATGGGGATGCACATAAAATTTTTAATTACGGAAACTCGTGACGGCTCGTGCCGCACGCTCGACTTCAATATGTCAAGGGCTATTATCGAAGGTACGAAAACGCTGAAATAGCATGCGTTGGTGAAAAACCGCGAAGAGCGATTGAATGTTGGATTTGCGAACGCGAGAAGTGCGAACGAGAGCACTTTTGTCCCTACTTCCCCCTTCTTCCTGGCGCTCGCACATGCCAGTCTCAGAGCATGAGCTCCGCATCGAATGAATAACTGAAACAATGCGGAACGAAAGCAACGCGCAGTACCAGTGGCGCTCTCGTAACATCGATCGTAAGATTACAATTGGGTTAAAGTCGGTATCGTCTGTCTCGGCGCGAGAAGTGAAGGGTTGATAAATCATGCTGAATTCTAAAATGGCACCATCTAATTCCACATGCATTTCAGTCTTCGAATTCAACTCTCGATTATTTTCAGATAACATGTGTCTTGGTTGAAAAGCAATAAAAACATAAATTATTCCGCTTGAGAGAATTTTTGCTGCAAATTTGTAAAAAATGTATAAATTCTGAATATCAACAAAGAAATAAAATGTGTGTACTAAGATCAACGTTATTTATCTTGCAAAAAACTACTGCGCTACAGGTTCGTTCGAAACAACTTTAAGTTGCAAAAAGATTTTAATTTCTACATTCGAAAAACTACGCGTGAAAAATAATTTAACCACGAGCAATAAAAATAATCAGCAGATCTGAAACATGTCATTTCCGCTGCGACAAACGATCAACTGATGATTCTAGAAAATCCACTGTATTGTAACAATCAACGATCAATTTGGAACTCGGAATGTCTCGCATTCGACAACCCCCAGCTGTATGACGACGGAGTCATCGGGGCTTAAAAAGGCTAATGAAGGATGATGGAGAAAAAGAGTGGGGCGAAAGCAGGCGCGAAGGTAAAGGAGGAAAGCAGGGAAACACGGGAAAACATGATGGAGTGAAGAATTGTGAGAACGAGACGCAACTACGCGAGGTCGTGAGGGAAGTGGCTGAAGACGAAGGGTGGAATGATGGGATGGCGAGGTGCGGGGGATGGGTGACGGTCGGAGGTTGCCGAGGCTGAAATGAAATATTGATCTGAGCGGAGGCGCGCGCAACCCCTGCAACCGACCCGCCCTTGTCCACCATTTTCCATAGATATCTCGCCGTTGTGAACGCTGTCGAAATTTCTGCCAGTTTCGCGAGAAGGCCGATTTTTCGTTTTGCGAATCATTCGTCGTCCTCGAGTCTCAATTCGGACATACTTTGTCACAACTCTTTCATATCAATAATAATAATTCGGAACAAAAAATTCAGAAAAAAAAAATCGGAAGATACTTTCGGAAAAAAATTTGCAACTTAAGTTGTATAAAACATGGGGTAGAAAGAAAGTTTTGTAAAACTCGTCGAGCGTAAAACGTATCGACGTAATATTTTTATGTGGATTGATTCTGCAATCTTATCTTATCCCGAATTAAAATGTACGATACATAGTGTCAATTTAATTAATTGATTTCAATTTAATTTTAAATAAATCTGTGCATGTCTTCAATTTTCCAATCATAAAATACTTAAGAATATATTAC